GAATTAAATTCATCGAAACAATTATAAACAATGAGAAGAGCGACAACGAGGACTCTACTCCTGTCGTACACCAAACAAAATACATACGAGTTTAGAGTTACAATTCCAAAAGTGTGGAAGGGCATTAAACTACACGTGGCAGGGGGATGCATCAGCGACTTCCACCTGCGCTTTATGGCTGCTCCAAATCGATGGACGGCTTGATATGGAAAGATTTTTCAGTGTTATCGGTACATGAGATTGTACATCATGTGTTATTATACAAATTATAGGATATGTGTACTAAAAAGTTAATAACTTAATAAATAAAATTTTTCATCACTTCCATTAAAACACGTGATGTACCACTTATGTTCTCGTTGCAATTAAAAATTTTTCCTTGATATGGTCCCCCATGCAATTGCTAACTGATAACTTGTCGGTTTTCTAAATATGTGAACTCAAGACTTCGCGAGCTGCCACGTGGTCAATTCGTGAATAGAGGAGCGCGTACGTAGCGTGTCGTACGCTCGACGGTTGGTTGCGCGTCGTTGAAGCCACTCTTTAGTCCACTTTGCCTCCTCAGTCCTCACTATGCTTAGCTCACTGGATAATGTTTTTACACAAATACCCCTGACACCATTAGCTTTGCTAGATAAAACATCTAAAATCTAAGCTTCCCTAGATAAAACTACATCCGAATGAGAAGATTATTAACCAAAAAATGATAAAATATTTATATTTGCGTTATAATCCTAGGAGACTAAAATTGTAATTTAAATTTTAAAAATTAAAGAACATGTAAGTTGATGATTTGTTTATTACTTAAACGTTGATGAACGTGTTCATCTCTATTGGTGACACATCATTTAATTTGCAAATTTTGTTTGCAAACTTGTTGAGTGTGAGAATTGCATTCTCCAAAAAAATTTATCACATAAACAAGTCATGTGTGATTTGTTAAATATGTCTTATTTTCAATGCTTAAAGTTTTTAGTCAAATTAGGAAGAGTAATATGCTCTTTTCTCTGCACTCATGTTTGAATTTTATTTTTCATAGTTTAAATGAATTTAGTGCAAAATATCACATGCATACAAAAATATCTTATCTTCATTTCAGATTCAAGTATTGGTAGCTTATACTTTTTCATAGTGAGTAATGAAGACTACAATTTTTTTTTTTTTTTTTTTTTTTTTTTACATCCAACTTTCTCTAGTAGAAAAATCGATAAAAACAACAAGGACTTGGGCATAACAGGTGAACCATCACTTCTTACACATGACTTTGCATTACTGGTCCGAAACATCATGGTATCAGTGAATCCATTTTATAAAAATGTCTATCAATGAACACATTCATAGCATTGGTCAACCAAGGAAGTGCTCGAGACCCATCCCTCATCAACTCCTAATAACCAGATCAAATCTACTCATCAGAATAAATAGATAGAAAATCAACAAAGGCCAATGAGAGAGGAAAGTGGCTTGAAGCATCAGGCGATGATCAAATAGTGAAGGCGTTTACTTGCTAAACATTGAATTCAAAGTTCATACTCAATGTCTTAAGTCGTTGTTATAAAATCGATGCGTCTCTAGCTGGTCTTGAAAGTTAAATATTTTGGAAGGGCAGTTTGGTAAAAGCAAGCATTGTAGGGCAAAAGAAGCCGTGGTTTTTTCTAGAAAACAACGAGAATAATCATGGGAATGACAATTAAGCACACGTGGCTAACAATGCATGTTCCTCGCCAAATTTAGCAGTCTTTCCGGAAGCCCCAAACCCAACAATAAACTACGGAAAATTGCAAGCACTGATGAGTGATGAGAAATCGGATCCTCAGATATGGAGAGTTAAAAGGTGGCCGGGTGGGACCCGCATTCACATATACATGTGTGTGTATATATATTAGTTAATAAAGCACTCATTGTCAATCAAAATCATATGAAATTATCAATTAATATTCTAATTAAAACAAATCATGAATAAAAAAAATATGGGGTAGAAATGCAATTTCATACAACCAAATTTTTGTTTTTATTTTCAAAACCTTATATACATGTAATCCTAGCATATCTCTAATTAAAAAAAAAAATTAAAAAAAACTTCATACTCCCACATTCTCTATTACTCTCTTCATCTCTCCTTCTATTTCAAAAAATAAAGATAAATAAATAAAGGATAAATTACACTTTCATACCTCGAGTTTGAGATCTATTTCAATTCCTTACAACATCTTCAAAACATTTCACTTTCATACCTTAAGTACCATTTTATTTCAAAATAATACCTCTGTTACATTTTCCATCCATTGATCCGTTAAGTGATGATGTGGCTGCCACATTTGTGCCACGTGGCAAAAAATTTTTTTTTTAATTTTTTTTAAAAAAAACCTGAATCTTCTAAAAGAAAAGAAGAAGAAGAAAAGAAAGAAAGAAAAAAAAAAGCCCAAAACAAACGCAACCCCCACTTCGTCTTCCCTCCCTATCCCCCTCCCTATCCCTCACCCAACCTCCAACCCAGAAGAAGAAGAAGAAAAAGTAGGAGAAATATAAAAAAAAAAAAAAAAAAAAAAAAAACCCATCTTCATCTTCCCCGACTCCCCTTCCTTGCAACCAACCCCTTTTTTCCCCCTCCCATCTTCCCAAAACCCACTGCACCCATCCTCCACGTCCTCCTCCGCACCCACCCTCGCACCTCACCCTCTTCCCTCCTCTACACACTCCACTCCTTAAATTCACACCCATTGGGGAAGACGGGATCTAGGTTGCAGGGAAAGGGAGATGGTGTTTTTTTTTTTTTTTTTTTTTTTGTGTTCCCCTTCTTTTCTAGATTGAAGATGGGAAGATGAATTTTTGGGATGGGTTTTTTTTTTTTTGGTTCCCCTTCTTTTCTGGATTGCAGATGGGAAGATGAATTTTTGGGATGGGGGGGGGGTGATTGGTGGTGGTGGGATCTGTAAGTTTTTTTTTCCGTTAAAGATTCAAATGGGGTTTCGGCCGAGGGGTGATGGGATCTAGGTTTCCTATGTTTTTTGTTTTTTATTTTTTTTTTGTGTTGAAGATTCAGGTTTTTAAAAAAAAAATTAATTTTTTTTTGCCACATGGCACACATTTGGCAGTCACGTGGCACAAATGTGACAGTGACGTCAGCGCTTAACGGATCAATGGATGGAAAATGTAATGGAGGTATTATTTTTAAATAAAATAGTATTTAATGTATGAAAGTGAAATGTTTTGAAAATGTCGTAAGAAATTGAAATAAACCACAAACATGAGGTATGAAAATGTAATTTACTCATAAATAAATTTTCTCACATATTTTATGTGTAGTATATATTATACGTGGGAAGAGCATTACCAATCAACCTGTCAGCAAACGTTGAATTAGAAATTTGGAGAAATAAGCATTCATCCTTTCTCACCTCACCGTCACGTAAGCTAAGACGTAAAGACTCGGGTGGATTTCAACTGTACAAGGTTGGGGGTTTTCCCCTTGTCACACGAAGGACAATTAACAGTAAACGCACAATAAGTAAAGCCTTATTCAAATACTAAAAAGAAAAATATCGGTAAATCGAGAACTCATTAATTTAATTCAATTTAATTTGTCAATTAAATTAGTATGCTTGTTTGTTAGCTCAGATGCAATTTGTGGGCTTGGTAACCCGAAAAGGTCCATATTGAAGCAATAGTTTTAATGAATTATAAAATAAATGACGCAATAAAAACCTTCTATAATCATTAAAACAAAGAAGATATGGCGAGAATGAAAAATCATTTAATTCGTATCTAACTGATCGGATCAAGGAAGATCTTTCAAATTTATTAATACCAAATACAAGGGACTTTCATTTATACGTATCTGGCTCACTTACCCCTATGTTTGAAGGGTGCTCACGCACTCTTGGGCGCCTGAACACAACCTTCTAATAATTACAAGGTTGCATTTATTGCGATATTTTTCTTTTTTTCTTTGTATCTACTATCTACTAATCTAAAAAACAAAGTTTATCATCTTCTATATTTTATTAGAATAATGTTAGGGAAATTAAAATTTTAAACCAAATGATGTGTCACTAATAAGAAATAAACATGTTAATCGACACTTAAGTAATAATTCAATAGGCGACATCCACATCATTTGATTTACAAAATTTGATCTCCCTGCAATCTCAATATTTTGGAACTTGATTTGTTGTCTATAGATAGCAACAATGATGCCATAATATCTATGTCACTAACCTCACTAAAAGTGCAACCTTTTTCTTATATGATAAGTGCCCATGATGTAGAATATGATAAAAATTGTTTAAAGTGTGCTAAAAGTACTGATCAAAAAGTAGTAATTAGTTCCTTTCCCGTTAAACGCAATGACAAGGATCACCAAGACAACATTGAGGATTCCTCTCCCACTATTCCTATCCATCTTTTCAAAAATGACAAAGTTGTGAGCCTTGTGATTTCTCCTTTCCATTAGTAATTAGTAAATATTTAGTAATAATCAACAAGTATAACAAGTAATTAGACAAAAATAGTTGCAATCCGCTCGAAGAAATCCGATAAAATTCAAACGATACATACAGAGTGAAGAATTTGAAGTCGGCGGCGTGATGTGCACGCACTAGGACCCAAGTAGTGAGATTTGTTTTGGTTTAGTGGACGCAAAGAGAAAGCAAAGCAAGTTAAAGTAAGAAGGCGGACAAATGTTTTGACCCGGAAGAAGTCCCAACAAAAAGCTCAGCCCACCGCCTCCCTTCCCTCCCACTCCACCCCCTCTTTCTACCCTTGTCCTTGGTTGACCGACTTCACTCCTTTCACCAACCCTTACCCAAATCCCACATATAAATACACCATCTTTCCTCCTCACTCTGTCCACCACAACCACAACCACAACCCAAATCCCACCAAAAGCAATAAACTCAATCCTCCTCGCACCATAATCTCCAAGGGCAGTGAAACCAGTCTCCGTCTTTGTATCTCGACAACCATATCGATCACATATTTTTCGCGTTTTGGCGCACGTGAAAATTGGGAAAAAAATGGCCTTAGAGGCTTTGAAATCCGCGAGTACCACCACTAATACTTCTCCACCCTTCTCATCGTTTGAAGAGGCGGAGGATCGTCGTCAAGCCAATCACCAAATCCACTCCAAAGAGCCATGGGCAAAGAGGAAGCGCTCTAAGCGGCCTCGCAGCGAAGACCCACCAACCGAAGAGGAGTACCTCGCTCTCTGCCTCATCATGCTCGCCCGCGGCACCACTGCCGCCGCCACCACTAGCAGCTCTGAATCGCCTGCGCAGCCGCCGTCTCGGGAACTTTCTTACAAGTGCTCTGTTTGTAACAAGGGGTTCTCCTCTTACCAAGCTCTTGGCGGACACAAGGCCAGCCACCGGAAATCCGACTCTTCCGCTGCCGCCGCTGCCACGGTGGATCATCCAATTGCCGCTGCTTCCGCCGGGCCAACAACAAGCGCTAGGACCCACGAGTGCTCTATCTGCCACAAGACCTTCCCCACCGGCCAGGCCTTGGGTGGACACAAGCGCTGCCACTACGACGGCGGTATCGCTGTCACTACTTCCGAAGGCGGCGGTGCTGGGGCCTCGAGCCACAGTCAGAGTCAGAGTCATCAGAGTCAACGCGGCTTTGACCTGAACCTGCCAGCGTTGCCGGAGTTCTGGCCTGGGTTTGGCGCTGACAAGAAGAGTCAACTCTCTGGCGAGCAGGAGGTGCAGAGCCCGATGGTGGCCAAGAAGCCGCGGTGGTTGTTGGGTCGAGATTGATTTGGATTTACGTGAATTACAAAGCCCAGTATAGCTAGCTAGCTCATAGCTGCATGTTTTTTAATTTTAATTTTATTTTCTCTTTTTTATTTGAGTTGTTGAATGGTGTACAGAAAATTCAATTCGTTCATTGTTTGTATACAATGGTCTCGTGTCTCCAATTGGTTATTTAATTACTATTTTATCTTCTATTCGATTTGGGTTTTAATTAATTCAATTTTGTTACCTAATTATAAATTATTTTCTTTTCGTTATTGCTCTGTATTTACCACGGGTGTTCAGCGTTAACCATATAGAACACCCAAAACAAATTTTATGACCAATAATCGAGTAAGCAACCTCAAGTTTGTGCAACAAATATTTCAGAAATGAGAGAGATTTAATGTAAGGCTGCGTTCTGTCTTGCCATCAAGTGTATAAATTTATATAGTAACTAAATTGTTACTTTTGTCTATACATCTGATGCCACATGAGATGTTTAACACAATTTTATGCAATGACTCAATATTCATGTTTATCTATTCTGATGGCACCCAAGATCTTTATAGGCATATGTAAATTTGATTGGAATATTTTCATTCGATTGTCGAATCAAGTTTTAGTTTTTTATTTTTTATATGTTTTTTATATGTTTATATATCTACAAACGATAATGTTAATAGGTTAAATTGTTAAAAGTTAAGGAGAGAAGAGATTGTAAGTATCGAATCCGCATTAAAATGCATAAACATTATTTTACTCCGTGACTACGATAAAGGTCATATGCCAAAATTAGGTTCTAGTTGCTTTGGTCTTCCTTTTTATTGTTCTCTAATATCTTAATTAAGGGGGTGGGGCATGCGTATTATTAGAAATCCAGCGTGAACAACGGAGGTACAGCAGGCAGGCATGCCTGCCTCACTGGTGGTGTAGTGGTGGCGGTGATAGTGGTGAGCCAAGTATGTATGTATTAACAAACATGCACGAAGCAGACAAAGTGTTTAGCCATTGAAGCCAAAGGCCGACACCATGTGGATTCATGCCTTTAATGCACATGTTGAGAGGGCATCATGATAAATTGCCTCCAGACTACATCCAATATTAATATTTTGTTAAGAGCATCTTCAACCGTTTTAATATATATATATTTTTTTTTTGGTAAACACTCTCTGAATCTAAAGAGTGTAGGACATTTCCTAACTTTAAAGAATTATTTGACAACGTTACCGAAGTAGTATGCTCGATTTTGTATTTGAATTTGAATTCTTGTATAATAAATTAGAGTAACTTATAATATTGTCTTATAAGAAAATGATCGGAATCCTCTAGCTATCTTGTTGCCATTTTGAAACGATGAAAAAATGCAAGTGGCCTTTTACCACAGTGGTAGAGATGGGTGTTGTCCTTGCACCACGACGTGGGTTTGAACGAATCAAACTCCATCTTTTTCCTAATTTAACATCTAATTTAACAAAAGGGTGTGCTATCCACACACCTCATTTTACTTCTCACACACCCCTTGATAATTTCTATCTGTTGATTTTCTTCAATTCATCCAATCCGACGGCCGAAAATTAAAAAGGGTGTGTGGATATCATATCCCATTTAACAAATCTATCGTTTGACAAAAAAAAAAACGATGAAAAAACATTATAAAGAGGATCCGTAGAGACTATTGCCAGAGAGAAATTACAGAACTATGTACAAGACTAGCTGTAATTTGGAAAAATCGTTTATTAGTGACAGTAATTACGAATTCTATGTTTTAATTAATTAAACTACAAACACACTTAATAAAATTGATAAACAATGGTCAATTTAATTGGTTTTTCTCCGTTCACGACTGTTTAAGACCGACCTAAAGATAGAAAGAGAGGTATATATGGAGACACTTGCCATTCTGTTAAAAAGAAATTTTAGTGACGTACGTGATTGGTAACTTAATCGAGCAAATTCGATAATTAAACATATAAATATATTTGTGATAAATGTCCGGATGAAGGGTTTATAGCTACATGCATATCCGTAACATGTTGCCTTTTTCTTTTACTTTTTCTTTTTGTTTTGGTAGTTTAGCAATTAAGCTTGATGCATGTTATTCTCTAACAAACACTCATCAGACTTGTCGTGTTGACGCACTCCACTCGTCCTACTCTCCCGCTTTGCACGCCTGAGAATCAGAAGCTGATTAATCAGTACTTAATGGCTTATTATTATTGCTAATTAAGCTTTGATTTCAAGTGTGAATGCGAGGTTTAATTGCCGTGTGGCCAAAGCTGCTTCCTCTAAACGCGGCCTTGACAATTATACTTGCCTAATATCTTAGTTTTGTCTTTACAATCATTGCTATACTCTTGTTTAAACGCACTGTTAAACGTGAAATGTAGGTTTACAGGTAATAAGAATTTGATATATGCAAGCTTAAAATGTACGCAGCAACAAGAATTTTGTTAGGTTATAGAGAGTGTAATTATTGACAACAAAAAGCAAATTAAATAGTGGCTTTGTTAGCGATCCACTGCTAATCACACCAATATTTATACATTATAAGACATGTAAGTTGGGTTTTATTCTAAAACTTCTCTGCGTCATTACGAGTGGAACCCTTAATTGTATAAACTAGTTTGTCATCAATTATCCAATGTGGGAATCTTATACCATTCAACAATTTTTGGCCGTATATCCTCACTTTACATTGAATAAAGTTTTTTGTTTAGCTGAATCAAAGCAATACAAAGCTGAATGTGGTCGTATCTGAGCCGCACACTAATTCAGTATAGTTGATCTCTTTTTATGCCTTTTAGCTCATGCATATACTAATTTAGATAGAGAAGAACTTCCTTGATCATTGGTTTTTGTATTGAGACACCTACTAACATAACTCTTTGACAATAGAAAGTTTCCAATCTTTTCCATAAAAAGTAATTAGTTATGAACACACGCTTCTTCATCATGGTTTTTTATACTTATTTTGGTTAAAGTATACCTAATAAAACGGCTTTGGATATTTCATTTTATCAAGTTTAATAAAAGGAACTCTTTCACACGCAACAGAAGCTGCAGAATAATTCAGCCTCGATGGGGTTGCTTCCTTGAACATGTTTGAAGATTTTGGGGGCATGCTGTGAAGAAAAAGAGAAGTTCAGAAGGAGGTTTCTGTTTGATTGCGTGCAGGAAGTGTACAGAAAACCCCAGGTGGCAATGGCATCGTAAAAATAGGATAAGCAAATTCAATTCGTTAATTGTTACTTAGTGTTCCAAACCTATGGACCAACTAAATAGATATTAGAAAAATGTAGTTTTATGTCTTCTTGAAGATGCCCTAGTTAAGTAATTGGACTAGAAATTTGTGCTAGACAAGTGTTACAACCCGTTCCTAAATTTATGTTTTTATTTATTTTAATCGAGGGAATTGATGGAAATGCCCTAGAGGGCAAAACATAATTTTATGAGTATGTATTTGATCCTCGTATATTCTGTCATGTTTCTTGACATATTTGGATAGAGCTCGACCTCACGAAAACGTAGGTGCAAACCGTTTGTGAAATGGAGTTATAATGAATGAGTTATTAATAAGTGAAGTGGAGGGCAAAATGGATAATTTACCATTTAATTGGAAGGCTCCAGAAAATCTGGAGTAATGGGATGAGCCACATGTGTGGCTAAGATTGAGAAGGGAAGTGAGATGGACGGAGGAGATGAAGGAAGCAAGGAGATAAAGGAGGGAAAGGAGGGAGGGAGATGGCCAATTGGGGGAGAGAACAAGGAGGGGAAACGAGAGAAAGGGGAAATGAGGGATTCTTGACCCGCGCCATTTTGACCCTACCCGATCAGCTCTTTGCTCTTCCGACGGCTTTCCGCCCATTTTTCGGGCGAATTACATCAAACCATCACTTGGAAAACCCTCAATGATCTTCCCTCTTCCTATTACACCCCAAAAATAAAGTGATTTGGCCTTGAAATTAGGAGAACCCGCATGGTGGGGTGCGGCGGCTTTGTGTTCGAATCACCTAAATCTGAATCTAACTACATGCATCTCCACCACCATCAGACTTCCATTAAGGCCTGGAACAAAGCCCAAACAACTATAGGGATAGCGGAGCACCGGAAGTGACGGATCGAAGCCACCCATTCTTAGGGTTCTGGCGGGTTCGAGATGAATTGGAGCATTTTCCCGGCCAAATTAGATTTGGCCATAGGTATAAAACTTGCTCTACTCATTGACATTTTAATTCCTGTAAATTTTGGTAATTTTTGGAAATAGTTGGATTTTCCGGTGAGTCGAGGCGGCTGACTGCCACATGTGGAGGCGCGTCAGCCGAGGTATCCCCTGACCTTCGTAGGCTAAATTTGATACCCCCAATTCCATATGTGAAGTCCGATTAATGAAATTTCATCGTTTGAACATAGTTATGATAGAGATCATCACTTGATCCTTATATGAATTGATGATCCAACCGTTGGATCGTCACCAAATTTTAGTACATTATAATACATAATATTTGAGGACAATAGGAACTGACGGATCGGGAGTCCAAGATACGGATATTCCCGAACTTAATTTGTAAGCTAGTTAAATAAAACGTCGGCAGCCACTTAATTCTAGCAATTGGTGGAGATCCGGCCGTTGGATCGTAATGAAATTTTAGTATAATGTTCTAGAAGAATAATGTGGATCTTTGGAAGTTACGGATCAGAAATCCGAGGTGCGGATCTTCTGGATTGAGTTACGTAGGATTGTGGACCCTACCGTCGACTTTTGACCGACGGTTGATTTTTGGTCAATGGGTTTCAAATCATTCTAGAACGTCCTTGGGGATGTATTTTATGTATGTTACGTGTTCTATCGATAAGAATTCTGAGATGCTATTTGATAATTGTTCTTGGCGACGATGGTTCATGATGCCTCGATATTCATGCTAGGGAATTGTAGTGCAGACTTCAAGTGAGTGGGTCTTATCCTTTTTTTAGTTTATATATGATTGATAGTTCCACAAATGCTTTTAAATTGATTTATGCATTTTATGCCATGTCATATATATATATATATATATATATAGATTTTTTTTTTAAATACTATGATATGGTTGAGTTTTAGATTGCATCATGACATATATCCATATGCATATTACTTACATATAATTGTTGTGAATGCTTGGAAGTGCTAAGGTGAACGCGGGAGGCGCAGGTAAGTTCAGGTGAGTTTATGGTG